AAGTAGTTCACTTTCTTCTAAAATCGGTATCGAAATTGGTCGAAAAAGCAGATAAATACCTGGGGTTGTCAATAATTGAGTTGTTGTTGGAGGTGGAGTTGATACTGTTGAGAAAAGATAGCGCATAAAACATTTTAAAAGGAGACATTTGAATATTTCCCTAACAAATTCCAATAGCCAGGTAAGCTTAATCAAGAAACAATATATATATGAAATATTGACAATTTAAAGCAACGCGCTCTTCACTTGTTACTACGATAATTGTACCTCTGCATTGTTTACGTGGACCGACCTGATAGTTTGTGCTCACACAATCGCCTTATCATCTCTGGGGCGAGATTCTGGAGATCCTGAAATGATGACGATGTTAAAACGTATTGTGATCCGGATGCAATTTCTTCTAACTCTGCGTGGTTCGCTCCCCTACCAACTCCCACGGCATATACAATGACTCCTTTGTCCTTCATCCCTTGAGACGCTACTGAAAGTCTGGTGTAAGATGGTACTTTTGTTTGATTGCCGTCTGTGACCACAATTGCTAACTAGAAAAAAAGGCAAGTTTTTTTTAAAGTATTCTTAGAATAAAAATGTCATTATTTTGTTACAGTGAGTCAAATAGATTTGACGAGTATCTGTAGATCGTTTAACATTGGAATATGTTTTTGCTCAAACGCATCAGATTGAATGACTTCATGTAATCAGACGTAATGGATATCGGGGTTGATTTTCCATTCAAAATACAAAAAGTTTAGGTGTGTCGGGTCTATCCAATATTAACTTATCTTGGCACGTAAGAACCTTTCTACACACTCTATACTCACATTCCTTAGAAATATGATACTGAAATGGAAACAGCAAATTTAGACACAATAGAACCTGTACCTTTGGTACGTGTAGTCGCATCCCGCCTGATGTCTGGAACACCTCTTTGTTTGCAAGAAGGAGAGCTTTGTCCGTGTAGGTAACACCACGTTGCCATAGCATTCTATCAAATAATCGATTAACCTGGTTGGTACTCTGCAAGCCGTCAAATTTCATTTCCACTTTAGGTTTGGTACTGTATGCAATAGCAGCTATATGAGTGGCAGAGGAATCGACGTCAAGTTTGCTGACCAGAGCTTTTAGGAATCGCCTCATTCTTTCCCAATTTTTGCGACCAATACTTCCAGATGAGTCGATAACAAAGGCGATGTCCACCACATTGCGGCACTCCTTATCTGATAGAAATTTGAAAAAGACAAAGATAAGCATCATGATTTTTATTCAATGGACTACAAAGCTACCATAATCATTTAGAAGGATTCCCCTGAAACGTATCCTTGGATATTTTAGTTGTATGGTTCTCCAATTCCAAAGTAGCAACACTCTATACTTTCGGAACCGACAGGTCAAAGGTGCCGCATCAGTTGAGTACCTGCTACTTTCATGAAGTCAAAACACCAAGAAAACGTTTTCAAGAGCTATTGTTAAAAGGTTTAAACTCACCACACGCGCCCTGCTTTGCAACAGTAACACCTATATCTCCCCGGCAAGCTTGTCTTCTCATGTGGCAGTCGCTCTGATCCTGTACTCCATCAGTTGCACATACAGGGAGGACTATATTTCGGCAAGTGGGGCAAATACACTGTGCAGTATTGTTCACTACACGGCAGCCTTCATTGAACGGAACAGTGCAGCCTATAGCACATGGATCTACAAAATGTATAGTTGAGTCAGCTTTACTCACCCTAGGATGGCGAGCTCGGAATAGCAAGAAAACAATTAAATAAATATCCACATGCAACGGAACATGACTAGCTCACGCATAAGAGAGAGTCGTTTACATGTTGGTCGACATTCCCTGCATTAACATTTGCTGGGGATTTTCTCTGTCACTAATGCTTTTCCCAGAATAGTACGAGCGTATTTTTCTAAACCATTAAGACAATTTGAGCGATTCTGTAGCAAAGGTAGAGTTTCACTTTGTTGCACCCCATGTTGTCTTATTTTAAGCAATATGCCGAACTAGCTTTCTGGGCGATTGATTATTTTCTTCTATTTGATTAAAACTCGAACTCGTTACCCAGTAAGCATTTCCAGCGCCATTTCCAGGTTGAGGGAAAAGATTTCCAATCGTTACCAAAGTGATTATTTCATGATTTAACGTGGAACTCGATGACGACAACTAGATAAAGTGGCTCAATTACCTGGAGTAGTTGGTGTTGGAGTTGTTGAGGGTCCAGTAACATACGCTAATCAAAAAGAAAGAAAGCATAATTGTCACATTCACAATTTTGGATGGTTGAGTCACAATATCTGCCTAAATCACTTTAACAGGAGGGATAATGGAGGGATAATGAGACTTGATCTTTGTCCAGTCCAAAATCTTCATCGGTTGCCTGTAAAACATTATACACACCGAGGGAAACCGTTAGTGTTGTTTTTCTGATGAACATCAGGACTCTCGGGAAAAAAAAACTAACTAGTTTCCCAAGGGACCATACATTACATTGTATTCAGCACGCCGGCAACAAACTGCGCAATTGCATCCCGGTCGGGATACATTTAATGTGATTAGGGGTACGTGACCAAGAATCAACTAATCACAGTGCTTGTTTTTGGGGTGTAAGTCTATAACAATACGCATTGTTAACTTTTTTTTCAATAACTAACCTCCTATTTCCAAATAGAAGCCATGTTTAAGAAAATTTGCAGAAATTCTTCTATACCTCTACAAAAGTGGCGTCTTATCCCTCCGGCTATTTTCTTTAGATCTTTAAATGATGCTGAAGTATAAACATTTTGTGATCCCGAGGCAATCTGTTCAAGTTCAGCTCGGTCGGCCCCGCTGCCGACCCCGAGAGCGTATACAGTGACACCTTTGCGTTTCATTCCTTGAGAAGCCACGGAAAGCTGCGTGTACGATCCCGTTGTCGTCTGCTTACCATCTGTGATTACAAAGGCTACCTAGAAAGTATTATCGGAAATATTGAGTAAAAATCATCAAAATGTAATGGGAGTATAGGGGAAGTGGTGGAAAACATTTTACAAACTAGGAACCCTCTTTTAGAGGGAGGGGTAGATAAGAGGACAAGGGGCTCCAAAGAAGGGAAGCGGGCAATAAAGGGAAGCGGGCTGTAAGATAGACCACCAGTCTTCCTTATTGTAAAGGGACTTCAGAAGAAACTATGGTTTGCTTCAAATAGAGGGGGCTACACGAGGTAACACGAGCATGGTGTTAGAGTTTATATGACATACAATCTTTGGGGATGTCAAAGCGCTTTCTAAGATCAGACTCGAGCGTCATCAGGTTATTCCTAGCGATAAATCAAAACGAGTGCTTCATGTAAAAAACTGAGCAAAAGGAAAGAGAGATCAAGGTGACTAAGTATGTGGGCTACTTTTTCTAATTCGGGTAAATTTCTTAAAATGAAGCCCACTCCTTCTTAACGAACCCTTCCTACCTTTGGTACACTAGATCTCATTCCCTTTGCAGTCTGAAAAAGTTCTCTGTCTGCAAGCTGGAGAGCTTTGTCCGTATAGGTCAAGCCGCGTTGCCATCTCATAAAATCTAACACCTGATTAACCTGAGATGTTCCTTGAAAGTTTCTGAACGTCATCACCACCTGTGGATTCGTACTGTAAGCGACAGCTGCCACGTGTGTGGCAGAAGCACTAACGTCAAGTTTGCTGACCAGCGCTTTAAGGAATCGCTTCATTCTTTCCCAGTTACTGCTCCCAATGCTACCAGAGGAGTCAATGATGAAAGCTATGTCCATGATGGGTCGACAGTCTTTGTCTGATAATGAAAAGAAGTAAATGATTCTCGAAAGAGAAACATAGAGCGACAATGTTTTAAAATTCTATACACAATCAAATATTGAATTCCAACTAAGAGACAAAAGGGTAGTCAAGGATGCAATCAATACGTCCAAAGAAACATGTAAAATATTTGAAATATTTCTGCGAGTTTCATATCCTCTCTCCATGAAAGAGGCCAGTTGCCTCTTCATCGAGGGCGCAATTTTTTTTTTGAAATTTCTCTAATGGGAATGATTTATGATGATCTTGTGTTCCTTGTTGACGGGTGCACGTAAAAATTAAACTCGTTTTATTTTATGATTACAACTCCAAGCAACTTTGAAAAAATCTGGCGAGGGAGACGAATTGTCAACGTACAAGATGGAAAAATGGACAATCAACGCACCACATGATGTTCGCTTCGCAACAGAAACATTAACATTTCCTTGGCAGGCTTGACGTTCTAAATGACATTCACTCAGGTCCTCGACGCCATCTGATGCACAAACAGGCTTCAGTATGTTCGGACAGGTGGGACATATGCACTGTGCTGTATTGTCCACAACTTTGCATCCGAGGTTGTATGGAGCATTACAGGGAGTGGTCAGACAGGGATCTGTTAAAAAAGAGGTAAAATAACTTCAATTTAGAGAAAGAGGTTTTTCGTCCTACGTGGGACAAAGAAAAACTTCTGAGTCCCATGAGGAATCGAACCCCAGACCTTCGGATTCCGCGATCTCATCCATTACTACTGAGCGGCAGCGAGTCTACGGTGAGCGAGGTGCACACTGCTGGGATCAGCGATGTCGATAGCGTCATGTTAGGGACTGTGTCCAACACTCGTGACAAGACGAAAAATTCCTTTCTCTATTTCTTTAGTGAGCTAAAAACTTGCCATCATTCTTAAACTATTTACAAACTTCAATTTACCTTGAAGTGCTCAGACTAAGAAAAATTGGTCACTTAACATTCCGTTTTAGCCTTGGCTTTTCTAAGTTCCGCTGTAAGACACACAGGAAACCACGATTAAAGAATAATGGAAAGGAGGAGGAACACGAGATTTGGAAAATTCTTGAGTGTTCCTCTGCAGTTGGTTTTACCTGAGCCGACGAAAGAGAAACCACCGAAATCAGATGTCCTTTTTTTAACTGAAGTCCAGCATCATGAAAAATCTTTTAAAGCTTAAAAACTGGCCAAAACGGTTCAAAGTGTTGTCTTTGAGTCGCGTTTCCTGCAAACCAGTTTCAGTTTAAACTTTCACAGGTCTTGAGCTTACATAATAATGTACTTAAAGGTATTACGCACTTTTGATTGACTGAGAACAGGTGAATTTTTGATAAAATGTACATGAGAAAATTACCCGCTTTTGATTGAAAATGAGTGTATTTTTCATGTAACACGGATTGTTGTCTTAAATATTTACTCTCGCCGATTAACACCATGTCGCGGTGTTTGAGAAGCAAAGGAAATACTTGTTATCCACGTGCGCTGACACAGTAACCTTTATAAACGGAAAACCTATCAAGGGAAAATAACCAGTGTAAGTTCGGCTCAATGCCATTCACTTACCAAGTTTTGATACTTCGCATACACTCTTTCGTATTTTTGAAGCCTCGTTCTGGAGGCTTTCGAATGATGACGATGTAAATACATAATCCAGTTCAGATGCAATCTCTTCCAACTCTGCTTGGTCAACTCCACTACCAACCCCAATGGCATAGACAATGACCCCTTTGTTTTTTATTCCTCTCGAGGCCTCTGAAAGTTTGGTGTACTGCAATGTCGTCGTCTGCTTACCATCTGTGATCACGATGGCAATCTAAATGAAAGGAATGTAATTCCAAAAAAATTTTGAAATCAGATAATCGAATCAATTGAAGTGCACGGAAAGTCTAGTAAAGCTATGAAATAAAAAAAATGCAGCATATCTGATCAACCTTTCCTCACTTGGAAAAAGAAGTAATCGTGACGCGTAGCGCTACGTTCTTAAATAACAAACATAAAACGTCATTTCTAAAATTTCGTGTTCCGCTTAGCTCTTTAGTTGGCCGTCATCACGCGTTATGACACGCACACAGAAATCTTGAGGAAAGGGGTCTTCTCACCTTCTTTACATTTGACCTCATCCCATATGAAGTCTGAAATAGCTCTGAGTCTGCTAAAAGAAGAGCTTTGTCTGTGTAGGTGTAGCCACGCTCCCATCGCATATCATCGAATACTTGATTGACCTGCAGTGTCCCTTGGAAGCTATTAAACCTGATCACCACCCGAGGATTGGTGCTATATGATATGGCAGCCACATGCGCTGCGGAAGGACTAACTTCGAGTTTGCTGATCACAGCCTTAACAAAACGTTTTGTTCTTTCCCAATTCATCCGGCCAATACTTCCAGAAGAATCGATGATAAAAGCGATATCTAAAAGAGGGCTGCATTCCTTATCTAAAGAGAAGAAATGCAGAGTTCAAAGTCCAAAAATGAGTGAAACCGAACAAAAAACGAGAAAGGAAATGATAACATTTTGGATTATAGTAAGTTAGAGTAGTTACATGTCGTATAACTTGGAAGTAAGCGTTGCTCGTAGAATGAGCAAGAAATCAAAATATCGCACAATGCCTGGTGGTAAAACGGGTGTCAGCTTACTTAAGACTGCTTTAATGCTGGCAAATTCCTAAGAAAAGTACTCTTAAATGAACAAACTACTATTCAGTTGTGAGTTATGCAAGAGAGACTTAAACTTGAAAGAGGCTATAAAATACGTCCTCGGTGAGATAGAAAAACTCAAAGCGACAACTGAAAACAAGAAAGAAAAACGCCAAAGAAGAACAGAGAAGTTAAATGCACAATTGAAGAAAATTAAACCCTGACTAGTTTCACAGACCGGGACACAGATCGTTTCGATAAAGTTGAGTTTTAACCAACAAAATGAATAATTTCATGAACAAATCGCCACACGTGCATTAAGTACTCACCGCATGGTCCTTCGTTCGTAACGTTAACCCATATATTACCACGACAAGCTTGCTGTTTCATGTTGCATTCGCTTTGATCCTGTACACCATCAGATGCACAAATAGGCTTCAGGACGTTGGAACAGGTGGGACATATGCACTGTGCCCTGTTGTTCAAAGCTCTGCAACCCTCGCTATATGGAGCATTGCAGCTACGTGTGGCGCAAGGATCTAGAAAGGCACGTGCAATAAGTTCAATTAACTATCACCATAATCATTTGCAAACCTGTACAACATTCCACCTTCTTCCATATTTTGGAGAGACTACTTATGTAAAGTGTTACGGTTTAAGTATCTGCCTCTTTGTGAAAGTCTGGATTTTACAAATGATTCCTATTAGCAGTTGTCCCTTCCGACAACGTGGCTGAGCACCACAAGTGACGCAATAGAAGGAAATGCCGACCTCTCCAAGAGCCAGTGGTGTTTGGGGAGACATGCAGAATAAAATTGTATGATCCGGTGCAAGAATGTGTTGGTTTTTTGGTTTTATCAAGCGAACATATTAAATACAGTAAAGATACATGGCTCTGCTAAAGAATACAAGAAATTTTTGGCTAATACATGCAGCACTCGTTAGTCAGAAGCCTGTTACCGAGAAGCTTATTTTTTTGTGTGGTCAAGTGGAGATGAAAATAATAAAAGGAGTTCTACGAATGGTTCTTTTGAATACTAATCGGTACCTGGGGTTGTTGTAGGCGCAGGTGTTGTAACTATTGCAACTGAAAGAAGAAAACAATTAACTGTCAATCAAATATTCCATTACACCCTTTACATTTTTGAAATTTTTTGAATAGCTTAGATGGTCAATATTACCCAACTCTGGAGAATGATAGTTTTGATTGCAACTACCTGTCAGTTGTCCGAGATTGTGCGGTCTAAACCGCCCTAATAGAACCAATTTTCTAAATTAATAACAATATCCCAGTCACTTCAAAGTTGCGAAGTGGTTCCTACAAACATGTGAAAAGGCGGACATATGCCTAACTGAGAAGAACCTTTGGCAGTTTCATTGTTACAATTTTAAAAATATAAACATAATGTAAATATGATACAGAGGACGCTCACTTATAACTAAACGTTCATTTGCAAGTGATATAAAGAAGAAAAGGTTTTCAATGTGTCTTGGTATAATTGTTCTCTAAAAAGGCTGAAAAGGTGGCTATGTTAACGCATCAGCAGATTTTGCAGGTCTTATTCTTGATATTGGATAACTGAATTAAGAGAAATGACAATTTCAGAGCCTAGAGTTCGCGATCCTCGAGTACTTAATAAGCAGAATCACCAACTCAGCTGCAAAGCTACTAGCTGAAGCGCCATACGTATCGTGACCATTGCATTTTGCCGGTAAATAAGGCTAAAGTTTTCACGAAATAATCAAAAGGTTGCTTACCAAGTACGTATCTTGAACTTACCTCTTGGTGCAGTTATGGTGCCTGCAATGGTTTGAACTTGTCTCGGAAGATCATTGTACGACGCCATGCGGAACATGTCCTGTGGTCTTTGGACGGGGACGTCAGATTCACCTCCCACAGCTATTACGTAGGTGATGACATCACGGTTTTTCATTAGTTGCATTGCGTCCACCAAAGATCCCCCATCAGGTGATTGCCTTCCACCGGTGAGCAATATGGCGACCTTTGATTGAATATAATGGTTGTGGGAAAACCCTAATCTCCAGAGTACGTTTTTATTTTTGAAAACTATTTATATCGATCTCACGCAATAAGCTAAAAGCTACTACTAGAGTTCATCCCGTTTTCAACTACACCAACCACAGCAGGCATACTTTCTAAACTGAAAACAGAATTGGTTCCTTTTGTGTTTGCTAAAAGATTTACTTCTTAGTGAACCAATTCCATCAACTACACAAACTAAAAAACCTTCGTAAACTACACCAACTACACAAATTACCGCAATTGCAATGAAGTGCGTTACCTGCAGGAACAACAACACACAAGCTCCAACAGGAAGAATTGTTTCAAAATATAGAGTAATTTTCAATTGAGTGTCGAAAATAATCCGAAATTGCATTGGTTTTGCTTTTACTTTTACTTTTACTTCGCTCTGTGATTGGTCCAAAACACTCACGCCACTCTCTCAACCAATCAGATGCAAAACTAAAACCAATCACGACTTGGTCACCCGCGTTTTCCCGCGCTTTAGACAGTTTGGTTGTTTTAACCTCAAGTTCTCATTGGCTCTTCCAGGTATTTTCCTTTCTTCTAATTGGCCTTTGTGATAACCTT